CCGCCGAGGTAAGCTTTACTAGCTATCTTTGCTTGGCAGCCTACTTCACTGTGCTATAGTTCAATTTCCTCTGTACAAGGGGGCACGCAACAGTTCCTGCCTCAAAGGACTTAGAAGAATTCAATGTAAAGGGCTTAGCCTACCACCTATCTATCAAGTGCTCAATAAAAATGAGCTGTCAGTGACTGACATGGTAACAGCTTCTCTTTTTTCTTCAAGCAGGTGAGTTGTTCTGCTGGGAGTAGGAAATGGGGTAGAAAGCCTGAGACTGGTAGTTTTTAAATGATTATCATGAAAAATGAGAGAGAGGGGCAAAAGTAAGTAAAATGATCACCAAAGAACACTGTGAGCCCCTATAAGACTGAAAACCATGCAAGTGTGTGGCACCAAACCACATCATTCTGATCTTTCAGCTGTGCTCAGAAGCCTATGTACAGAAATGCCAACTCAAAGAACTGTTTCTGGGCTGAAGCTGAGGTAATATGAGGAAACAAAAAGTGGGAAAGGAAGTTAAGGGGAAAGGATCATTTGTTCATTCCTTTAAGAAATACCTCCTGAGTACCTCCTATGTGCCAGGTCCTGGATTATTAAGTCTGTACTGGACAGGAAAGGAAGCAGAGTCAGAAGGGGACTGATCAATCATAAGAAAAGGGAGGGGTCAATATTCAAGATATCAGTGAGTCTGGAGAAGGGAGACAGTTGCCAATTAGGTAAAAGAAAAATAATTAATTAAAAAATTGGTTTTAAAAAACACAATTTTATGACAGAGGTATCTCTAGTAAGGGGGTTTTGGCCCTTTATACTTTTATAAATATTCCAACTTTTCTATCATACATACTTTTTCATAATTCATAATTTTAAAAAAAGCCGCACTGCTATAGGAAGAACAAGCATAGTGGAGTGGGAAAGAGAACTATCAGTCAGAGAAATAAGATACTGCAACTTACGATACTGCGTAGAACAACCCTGGCTGGTAATGGCTGGGCCCAAAGGAGTGCAAAGGAGGTAAGGAAAATAGTACTTGAGACTCTGAGGGGCACTGAGGGAAGAGAACTGGATACCGTCCACCTGCACATCAGAGGCTATGTAATGTACTGGTCAGGAGCAACAAGTCTCATGTCAGACCCGCCTGCACTTGAATCTCCATTCTGCTACTCAGTAGCCACGTGGCATTAGGAGGCTACTTAAGCCCTACAAGTCTTTCCTTTGTACCTTAATTCTCAGGGCTATTGGGACAATTACATAGAGTCTGCCATTCAAAACCAGTCCTTCCCTCATCATTATCCCAGTGTACTTTGATAGCTATAACTGAAGACTGCCTTGTGTTACAGTTAGTTGAGAATATTTAGATCTCCTAACTAGATTATTAAGGGCAGGCACCTATCTCAGTGCCTTACAAAGAGCAGATTCCCAGCTAGTAGTGAACTCTGTGGCAATTATACCATGATTAAGTTTTTTCACCAAAATTATGGAATAATAATCTTAATTCCCTACATTTACTGACTGTTCTCAAGGAATTTTAGAAATGTGTTCACCAGACCTCCCTTTTATTCAGTAGTAGTACTCCATTCCCTCCCATTCAAATCGGACTTTCCTTACCCAAAAGTTCTGTTTACACCAACCATCCTCCACTCGTATATCCACTGTTTTGGGTGGTTAGACCTTTCAAGTCTGTTCTTCCTAAAAAATGCTAATTTTTATGATTTATAAATTATTAACTTTTATAATTTATAAAAATTATGTCCTCACTTACCTCAATTTTTTACTTCGCAAACTTTCAAGCCTACCCAAACACTGTAAGAGCAGTAAAATGACCATACAAAAACTTTGCCCAATTTCACCAACCTCGACATCTAAGTTTTATTAGCTTTCCCCGCCTCCCCACAAACCTTTTGAAGGTAGCAAAAGAATATGCTCTCTCTTAAATTTCACAACCAATTCTCCAAATACTGGTCTATCCAGAACACAACTGCCAACAGCTTGTTCGTGCAACAGGGCCATGGGCAAGTTTCCCCATTTCCCAACCACCTCTATCATGGTGCATCAGATACCATTTCATTCCTCTAGGCCTTGAATTTCTTATCTTCAAATAAAAACTATCCCCTCTGTACCTTTATAACCCCCACACAGGATTCCTTAGTTAAACACATTTATTTTTCTTTTTCTGGATTTACACTGTGTGCATTTGTGAATCTTGACCTATCCTTCCATTTTCTTTGAAGTCATAGTAACAGGAACGTAAATTTGTTCTCTTGACTTGCAGTTATTTCTATAGTCATCTTCCAATTAATTCCAGAAACCTCAATCACTTCATATTCTCACTCCTACCACCCAATTTCCATTTTGAGTATGGCTGACATCTCTTTTCTTTTCTTTATGATTCATTCCTCTACAGATTAATCTCATGTTACAGCACTAGCCAGAAAAATCACAGTATCAGGTTGATATTAAGTTCATGCAGAATGGGTATGTTTTGGGAAAAATAACATGCACTGTCAGGGAATAAAAGGCAACAAAAAAGGGAAAATATAATTTAAAGATAATGAGTAAACAATTCAGCAATAAGCCATTTCTTTTGCAGTTTTTCTTTGGCTACAGTTTTCTCTAATTTCTACAAGGTTAACAGTCTGGGAAAAAAAAAAAATTCCTCTGCAGCTGCTCAAACTATGGTATGCATAGTTAGAAAATGACTCTTTAAAAGTTAACTCTCTTAACAGCAAGGTATCACTCTTAATATGCAGTGTTTTGTAGTCATGTTTGATCAGGAATAAGTTTAGACAATCATAAAATTAAAACAGCTCCTTGCAAATGCCTCTATTAGGAAAGTGTAAAAATTCTAAATAATTCTGGGTAGTAGATACTGAGCCCTGAAACCAGGATAGATATAATGACGGAGGGGAGGGCAGGAGCAGAAAAAAAAAACTGGGAACAGAGTAGATCATCTCTAACACCTTCAGATACTTCAGAGAGAACAGCTTCAGTGAGGGGTCAGTAGGGAAAAGATATGAAGACATCTTGGACTACCAAATAACCCAGGATCAATATGCTAGAAAGTTTCTTTAATTAATCCCCAATGGATTAGTAGTATATAACTGGAAAACTTAGGAATTTTTCAGAATTCTAAATGCACATGCAAGTTATATATTTTGAAGCACTTTTATCATTTAAACTACCCTGTACTATAACAACTGCTAAATAAAAAGATTAAAATTATGTACCTTGCTTAATCAAAATACCGGACTCTATGAGTGACCTTATGCAACCAGTTACACTGTCGTGCAATGTGTTCAGAGTATACATACCGCCATTCTTTGCTTCTCTCCACCACTGAGGACATCCATCCAATCCTGAACACTGTCCCAGCCTCCTTCACGTTCAAGGATATGACCCAACTGGACATTATCTAAATATTCCTTTAGTACCTTTCAGCACAATGATTAAAGATGAAATCAAACTTAATGTAAGCCAACATTCTCTATCTTGCTTTATTTTTTAAACTAGAATCACTATAATTCTATTGCCAATATCACTTCACAAAAGAGTGTGACACAAAGATAGCCCTGAACCCTCACTTCCTACTTATACTAACTCCGACAGAACATACCTAGTAGCTTAAAGAGAATAACACTACTGTACATAATTATAGGATGAGGGCAATGAGGAAAAAAAAAAAACGGTAGAGACAAGGTTAAATACTCACTAAGCCATATTTAAGCAGAGTAGTTAACATCTTACCTCAATTTGGAAAATTATAATTAATGACAAGGTTTTAGAAGGTTTTACAGGGTAGGATAAACTACCTGGCAGTTAAAATACTTAACTAATCTGATTAAGATAAAGAATCTGAAATGGAGTATTTCCAGTAGGTCTAGGACATAAACGTTTCCTTACTAGATCAGATATCCCCTTCCTTTTCTGATCTTCTCTTCCATCTGGATATATCACTTGGTCTCGAAGTGTTCCAAGAGTCATATAAGGTCTCTGATAGTGACAGAGCAAAAATCATTATAAGTGACTTTTTAAAAAAATAAATTAAAAGATCTTTACATCAAAGATTACAAAATAACTCAAACAAGGTCTCACCTGAGGAACATAAAATAACTTCCCTCTCTCAGGTTTAGTTAGACATCCTCCAAAAAGAGGCCATAACTGTAAAAGGAAAAGGAGTGGGGAGAGGAGCAGTTGTAAATTTCACAATGTGGTAGATTGTATGGCAAAACAGGACTGCAAAATCTTGAGGCCAATTTGTACTTACTTCACCAAGAACACGGAAAAGTGAACTCTTCCCACAGCCATTTGGACCACAAATTAAAACATTGGCCCCAGATCGAACCTGAAAGAAAATCAGTCTGTGAAGTAATAGTGAATATATACTCAGTGAACATTTCCTTAGAGTCAAATCATTTTTTGCTAATGATAAGCTTTCTATTTTGTCTGTAAATGTGGTAACAGGTAGAAGAAGTGGAGGGTATGGTTGAAGAGACCTTTCACTTTTGTTTACTTTCAAATTTTACACACTTTTTTTTCATTTAATAATCACTGAGTGAAATCAACTTAATCAGAATACAGAACTACAGCTTACAAATTTTGAGGATTCCTGAAAACAAGTATGTGTGTATATGGTCTTTTTTTTAAAAAAAAATGGAATCATATGATATATGTTCTACATGTTACTATTTAACAATATATCACAAATATTATTCCAAGTCAGTATATTCAGATTCCTCCCATCCTATTTTTTTTAACACCTACAGTGTATACCATTCTAAGAATGCACCATAATTTATTTAAAAACTTCCTTTTTGTTAAATATTTATGTCATTTGTATTTTGCTTTGCTCTTTTAGATAATACTGCAATGAACCAGAACCAGTGAGCAAATTTATGTACTGGTGAGACATGTTTCTATGGTCAGGTTCTTAGAAGTATATATATATTATAAATATTTACAAGTGCCACCAAATCGCTCTGTAGGGATGTAAAGTTAAATGAGAAAATGAGAAAATGTAAAGAAAATGAGAAAAGTTCTGAGCTTACGGTCTCATGTAAGTATTTAATCAACGCTGTGAAGAATCAGAAACCTGGGTTACAATTCCAGCTCACAACATCACACAGCAGTGTATCACAGCAGGAAAGAAGACAACAGAGATGTGAGTTACTCTGGTTGTGGAACCTGCCATTGACAAATTTTAACTGTTGAGGCCCTACATTCCTATTATTTAATTCAGTGAATATTTATTGAATGCTCAGTGTCAGGCTCTACTCTAGGTAATGGGGCTACACTAACAAATAAAAGAAAAAAAAACAAAACAAAACCTGCCCTTACCACTTTACATTCTAGTAGGAGAGACATATCATAAAGAATACACACAACAAATGAGTAAATTAAATAGCATATTAGAAAATAAGTGCTATGGAGAAAAAAATCTATCAAGGGAAGGAAATTTGGGAGTGGGTAGGGGAGGTTACATTTTTAAGGTGGTCAGGCCAGGTCTCACTGAAAATGGTAACTGGGCAACTCTGAATGGAGTGAATTAGGAGTTTATCTGGAGGAAGACTGCTCCAGCCCAACCCACCCACAACAAGCTGGTTCAAAGGCACTGAGACAGGAATGTACCTATCCTGGTCAAAAAAAACAGAAAAGAGGCTGAGAAAAACAGGGAGGAAAGAGTAGTAGGAAAAAAACAGAGAGGTAAGAGACTGGGGGAGGGCAGTGCAGGCAAATTCAACAGGGCACTGGGAGCCACTGCAAGGACTACCTTTGACTTTGATGAAACACGGAGCCACCATCAGCATTATTCCTAATAGCCAAAGGTGGAAGCAACTGAAGAGGATGAATGGATGAACAAAATGTGGTCTATCCATACAGTGGAAGAGTATGCAGCCTTGAAAACGAATGAAAGTCTGACACCTGCTACAACACGGATGAACCCTGAAGACATCATCAAGCTAAGGACATAAGCTAGACACAAAAGGATAACTCTTGTAGGACTCCACTTCTATGAAGTTCCTAGAACAGTCATATCCATAAAGGAGAATAGTAGTTACCAGGGGCTGGGAGGAGGGGTGGGGGGAGGGGGAATGAGGAGTTATTATTTAATGGGTATAGAGTTTCTATCTCTTACGATGAAAGAGTCCTGGGGATGGTTAGTGGTGACGGCTGCACAACACTGTAAATGAACTTAGTGCCACTGAACTATTTACATAAGAATGGTTAAGAGTACATTTTATGTTATGTACATTTTGTCAATAAAAAAAATTTTAATGGCTGAAAGGGGTAAATTTTATGTTATATATATTTTACCACAATAAAAAAAGAATGAGTTTCTGGGCACCTAGGTGGCTAGGTCAGTTGGGTGGCTGACTCTTATTTCGGCTCAGGTCATGATCTCAGGGTCATGACATCCAGCCCGCTGTTGGGCTTCACACTCACTGGGGAATCCGCCTTAGGATTCTCCTTCTCCCTCTCCCACTGCCCCTACCCCAGCTTTCTTTCTGTCTCCCTGTCTCTCTCGTTCTCAAATAAATCTTATTTTTTTAAAAAAAGAATGAGCTTCTAAAAAAGGTTGAGAATTACTAGCCTACCACATAACTGATCTGTAATAAAATACCACATCGTATGCATGTCTGTTAGAGAATAAACTATATGGAATGATTTTTCCAGAAAAATGAACTGTCCCTTTTTCTGAGAAATTATTTTAAAGAATCTTTTTGATGAACTTCCTAAGCAATTACCTATTACCTTTTCCTATGAAATTGAACATCGTGAATATTCCTAATAATTCAATTTCCTGTGAAACTGAAGATAGTGAATATTCCTGACAGACTTCTTCCTAAGCAATTACCTACTTACTGTCTTTTCCTGTGAAATGGAGTACAGTGAATACTTCTGATTATATATAATAACTTTACTTTAATAGTGATATCCTTAGGAGCTCCTAAAGTTCAGGGCTGTTAATTAAACGGTCCCCTACTACTATGCTTTGAGGAATGTCAGCCATATATACTGTCTTCTATTCCTAACTGTTCATTGTGATTTTCATCAGTAGCCAGTATTTCTCCATACTATTTGTTGCAATATGCCAGGAAACCCAAATATATAATGATCTGTAAACATAATAACTAGACTTAAGAGATATCTAAAGGCATTCTCTTTTATGCTCAAACATCTTAGATTCAGCATTAACTTTACCCCCATGGCTTTTGGCAATGTTGGACAAATTTCCAATATGACATCAGCCATGATAAGCCAGCAATAGTTTTTCCATAGTAAAGATTTTTCAAAATGTTTTTATTTCCCCCCCAGGTTAAATTAAGACTAAAAGATAAGGGTAACTTTTGCTGAAAATTAAGTTCTTAATAACACTGTATTACTGAAGTTCCTGGACTGGTTTAATGTGACAACAGTAGCTTTATACGGCTATTTTTTCTTTTAATGTTTCAAGTTTTATTTAAAATTTAGTTAACATATAGTTTAATATTAGTTTCAGGAGTAGAATCCATCATCACTTACATATGGCACCCAGCGCTCATCACAAGTGCCCTCCTTAACACACATCACCCATTTAGCCCATCCCCGACTCACCTCCCCTCCAGCAACCCTCAGTCTGTTCTCTATAGTTAAGAGTCTGTTTTACGGTTTGCTTCCCTCTTTTTTTTTTTTTCCCCCTTTCCCCTAATGCTCATCTGTTTTCTTAAATTCCACATAGGATGTACCACTATATTTTTACAAATTAAAATACGCCCTCCCATATAAGACTTTCTGATAAATCCAACTTTAGAATTTACCTTAATAATGTCATCAAAAACAGTTCTACACACAAATATGACTTAAGTAAAAGATTACACAAAAGTATGCTGCTTATGAAGATTCATAGGCATCTTCAAATATCAGAAACATGCCTTACTAAAAGGGTAAAAATTTTAAATAACTTACAAAGTATTATTTTAACACCCACGTTATAACCTACAAGTCATTAATCTTTTAGGGTCTCCTCAGTCTACATCTAGATAAATAAATGTCTGTTCTGGGGGAGTTTATAAAAGAATGAGGTATAAAATGTCCTATTCCGAAGAAGCTTATATTATTTTGTTATTATGTAAAACAAAAGACAAAAAAATAATCATAAAGCATTAAACATTTATTTTTTGGTGGCCAAGGCTGTTTTATTATGCCTCCGTCTAGGTGAAAGAAATCCTTATTTTCAAATAAGCTAAATGGGTAGAAGGTTACAAAGAACTGAAGGATGTGTGTTAAATAAAGGCTATGCTAAGAAAAATGATGGAAAGACAGAATAAATGGGAAAAGGCCAAGTCTAACTTAAAACACCTTAAGTCAGAGCGAGAGAGAAGAGGAATTCGTTACAGAAGACCCAAAGAAACAGCTTCCATTGGAAGAGAAGACAAAATAAGAATCAACAGGATAGCAACAGGTGGTATAGAACATGGTCACAAAGTAAAAAAAACTTGAACAAGCAGGGGCATAACTAGGGACTCAAATAGGACTTTCCTATTGAAACCAAACTAAGAGCAAGAAAGTGAAGGGTTTGAGACTATAAAAGTAAAGTTATAGGGACTGATGGCTAGAAGTATATTAAATCCAAACATAAGGGCTTTAAAAGGAAGAGCTTCTGGACACTTCAGTGTGGTAACCATGTGACAAAGTAATATCACAGATGATAATCATCTTACCTCTTCTATGTTTTTTTTTTAAATTATTATGTAATGTTAGTCATCATACATTACATCATTAGTTTTTGATGTAGCGTTCCATGATTCATTGTTTGCATATAACAACCAGTGCTCCATGCAGTACCTGCCCTCCTTAATACCCATCACTGGGCTAACCCATCCCCCCACACCCCCCTCTGAAACCCTCAGTTTGTTTCCCTGGAGTCCATAGTCTCTCATGGTTTGTCTCCCCCTCTGATTTCCCCCCTTCATATTTCCCTTCCTTCTATTAATGTCCTCCATGCTATTCCTTATGTTCCACAAATAAGTGAAACCATATGATAATTGACTTTCTCTGCTTGCCTTATTTCACTTAGCATAATCTCCTCCAGTTCCATCCATGTTGATGCAAATGGCGGGTATTCATCCTTTCTGATGGCTTAGTAATATTCCATTGTGTATATGGACCACATCTTCTTTATCCATTAATCTGTTGAAGGGCATCTCAGCTCTTTCCACGGTTTGGCTATTGCGGACATTGCTGCTGTGAACATTGGGGTGCATGTGGCCCTTCTTTCACTACATCTGTATCTTTGGGGTAAATACCCAGTAGTGCAATTGCTGGGTTAGGGTAGCTCTATTTTTAACCTTTTGAGGAACCTCC